CCCCCCCCAAAACAAACCTCAGAGCACTCACAAGCACATCCACCTCTCCAGGCAGCTGTTACTGAAGAGTAGTCACCTCAGAGCGTACTGATGTTTTACTGTTTTGGCTTTTATTTTCTTGGCTAAACAAGTCTTGTCGTGTCTATATGCATTTATAAGTGTACTTGAAATAGCTTCCTACCTGAACTTTAAAGCAGACTTTCTCTCTGACCATATGCTCATAGTGTTTTATTCCTAGGAGTTTAAGGATCAATTAGATCTGTCATTCTTTTCCCCTCGTCTTGTCATTAAATAAAATTACTAAGTTAACCTTGCTTGTTACCTAGGCAACTGACATCTTTCCACTGAACATATTATTGGTCTTAGGAGTTGGTTTGGCATTATCCCAAGTTAGATTCTAGTATAAATAACCTGGTTGTATACCGTATTTAAAGCATGAGTGTTTTTTCTTGCAACCTTAGGTACACATGCGTTATCTATTAACTTGGCTTCTCGGTGCTACTCGCGTTGATGCATATTAGTTTAGGCCTCTCCTTCTCACAAGCGCATTACCGTGGCCCTTCAAACAGTATTTCCATTCCAGGGTTGGATGATCTTTCAAAGGAAATTTCCAAGGACTCCAAGGAGTCTCTGCTGAGATACGTGGAGCGTTTTCAAAGACGTTTGACCAGATCAAATCCAGAGGGCTCCCTGGAAATATTTACGGAGCTTTACCTCTGTAATACAAGATGATAGTAGCACAGCCATAAAAACCGTTGGGCTTTGAATACTATAGCTAGTAGAGCTACTTTATGTTCCCCCATAAGAAGCTTTTTAACTGAGATCCACGCTATAAATACAAATAGATTTTCCAAAGAAAATGTCTTGGCTGTCACTGTTCTCTGAATGAAATCTTTGCAGACTTGGATAAGGAAAAACCTACTCCAAACCAGGAAGAACTAGGCCTCTTGTGATTTCAGTAGGTGCACGTGTGAAAAGTGGCAGGAAAGTATTGGTATCACTTGCTGTAAGATCTGATGCAGTACTGGAGAGAAGCCCTAGCCTTCACTCCCTGCCATCTGACTGGGAAGCAAAATCAGAATTTGCCATAGCAGAACTGATGAATGCGGTAGTGGAGCCTTATAAACGCATCTTACAAAAGGAAGTGGTTTAAGGACTTGGCAATAGGATATATGGCTTTTTACTTCCTGGCTTCTAGTTCAAGTCCATGTCTGATCATTTAAGGAGTAACAACTGTCCATGGTTCACAGGAGAAGAATAATGCCATTACATGAGTTCCTAGTCTCCACACCTGAAAATACCATCATAACAGTTTGTATTAATTACACTTCTGTGGGCCAACTCAGAGGCTAAGGTGTATATGGGGCAAGAAGCTTCTGCCAAAAATGGATTTTGCAGAAGACTTGTTACAAATGCATGTGCTATATTCGCCTCCAAAGATTTGTTTCAAATGCATGTGCTATATTCGCCTCAAAAATACATAACTTCCCCAGAGCTAATACTACAACATCTTTCATGAATCCTGTGTCATTTACAACGAAAAAGAGAATTAATCTTTTGAGTGGTGAAGGGGTTGTGGGCAGGCGAAACAAACAACTACATAAATAGATAGTGCAATTGTTCTTTAATAGACTGCATGTAGAACCATCTGTACACGTAAGATGCTTCTATGATAGTTCATTACTTATTGCACGCAAAAAGCCAAACTCCATTTTATCCTCAGATTGCACCAATTCAACAATCTATGGAGCTAGAAATGGACATAGAAAAGGACCTACAACATTAATACTTCAGTGAGCTAAGCACAATTTAGGAATATATGATTGTTTCTCTTAACCTTAACTACAGCATCTCTTAGAGTGGAACAAGAGATAAAAGTGTGCTTTTAGAGTGAGAGAGAGAAAATCTGGGGGGAAAAAAGGACCCTGAATTGCTTACACT